GAAATTATGGAAAAGTAAAAGAAAAGATTCTTTCATTGTTTTACAAACCCTCCCCCAGGTCCCCTCCACCATGTAGCCCTCGCTCTAGTCTCCTGTGAAGACCTTTTAAAAAGCAGACTCTCAATTATCTTTCATCTAGTTTGAAAGGGATATTTTGTTGTGTGACAGACCTTTAGAAAAATTTCAGCGACCTTAGGCATAGTGGCATACATAATAAAACACATCCTGCTAACACACGTGCTGAATTCTTGAACGTGATATTTAACTGTTGACATTGAAATTTGAGAATAAAAGCTCATTCATTCAAATGTGATTGTTTCCTCAAAATGTGATGGGTAAAAAATGTCTGATGGGATAACATATCAATTGAGTAGAGAAATGTTTTACCAAATTGGGATTTTTAAAGAACTTTCTCCATATCATTTCCACAAATCTTTAAGAAACTTTTACCCCTTATTGTATCTCATAAGAAAAAAAAACACAACAAAACATGTCTATTCCTATCTACTTTCCTCTTCCTCCCTCATTTTTGCTTGATTCTTTGGTTATTTGTGGATAGACTCAAATGATGTGTCTCTTTTCCTGTTTTTAATTGGTCTTGTCCTCTGGTTTCCTACATGATCTTTGAATTGGTCACTTTGGCAGATTACATTATTAATTCTATTTCCCAATTATGGAAATGTGCTTGCCATGATTGGTGTACTATAACAGATGTTACCACTGGCATGGTGGGCTAGCAAAACTGCACAAGAGAAGATACTACCCCCTAACCTTGCTCTGCTGAGTGTCCTGCCGAGGACTTGAAATATCTAAAAACATCAATAAGCCCATCAGTGATTTTGTTTTTCCTATTCACCTGCAAAAATCTCTATTGCCCCCAGATTTGGCATGCGGTAACAGAGTGGAAGCTATTGGTCTGTGATAAGAAGCTTAAAATATCAATGAAGATAGAAATTTAGAAAAAAACTAAAATCGTGACTGGATTAAAAATCAGCTTACCCAAAGCTTCCCTGATTATCTAAGTTCTGGCTTCATTGATGCCTAATAAGAAAGGTCTGACATCATCTCTCTCACAAGTCATGGTAAAGAATGACAGAAAAGATACACTGGAGATATATGTATATATATTTTATATTATTTTTTTTTACACTGGAGATATCGATCTAAAAGCTGTAATTGAGACCCTATATAGATTTGCACATTGCACATTCCCTTCTAATTCCATGTAACTCCTTTGCCCTCTGGTTGGGAAAGGATTGTTGAGAATCTAGAGCCCCAGGTGGAATCACTGTGGAGCACAGTTGGCTGTATGGCACCTAACCACAAGCACTACACAAAGGTATATGCTGTTGTTCTAAAAGCAAAAACGATTACCGTTTAATTTTGTAACCGAGATGGGAGTGGGGTTCAGATTGTGATGTTATCCTCCTTTGACAACAGTGAAGGAAGAAAGACTCTGCTGTCTACTTCTGCAAAAGCAGCCATTGAAAACCCAGTTCCTTTCTACTGTGACAAACACAGGAGTAAAGTGAGTCAACTGGCACGCGGGCAACTGATAACCATAGTTAGCAGTTCTCACTAAAATCTTTAGGCTGTGCTGCCTGGGCAGTGAGAATGAAAGCCTTCGTCGTCTTTGCCACCTTTGCCCTTCTTCCAGTGTGGATTCCAGGGAAGAGTCATCTCTGGTCCAGGACGAATTCTCTGTGCTTTAGTCCTCAAGGGCTTACTTTGTCATTAACATTATCACCTAAATTTATCTTGTTAGCTTCATCCTTATAGAAACTTGAGTTCTTATGAATCCTTGAGGAGAGATCTCTATATATCAGTATTTATGGAGCTCTGGTGGCCTAGTGGTTAGAAGCTGCACTGCAGTCCTGAAGGCAGAGGGTTCGAGACCACCAGCCATTCTGCAGAAGAAAGATGGGCAGTCTCTTCCTATGCAATTAACTGCCTGTGAAAACCTGTTGGAGGGTCAGGATGGGTTGGTTCCGACTCAGCAGTACACAACAAAACAACAACAACAACAACAACACACACACACACACACACACACACACGGATTCGGGTTGTTAGAGAGTAGGTGAAGAATGGCACCAAATTTTTGTCCTTACATTGCAAGAGTGATTTCAGTTTCAGGGACCAGATTGAAGAAGAGGTGGGTTATGGAGAGCTGAGAGGCTGCAGCAGATAGCGGGAGCTTGGTTTAGGCATCCTGACTTTAAGATGCTTGTCAGATGCCAGGAGTCCTTGAATGAAGGTAAGCTGCTAACTGAAAGATCGGCAGCTTGGGTGCACCCAGAGGTAGGCTGTTAATCTTCTTAAAAAAAAAATTAAAAAAAAATCGGCCATTGAAAACTTTATAGATCACAGTTCTACCCTGACATACTTGAAAGTGTTATGAATTGAAAGTGGCTATAAGGAAATTTTTTTTTGTTGGACACTAAAGTGGAGAGGTCACGTAAACAATTGGTTTTATGAGTCTGGAGTCCAGGGGATATTTCTGAGCTGAAATGAAAGGCATGTACAGATAATTTTGAAAAGACATTAAATATGGTTGCAGGGTTAGAAAAAAGAGAACAGAAT